AGCCTCTTCGGAGGAAGGTAAGGGGATTTGACATTCGCCGCAGAAGCAACCAATAGGGCGACCAGAACGACTGTGAGAAAAACAAAAAAAAATACGTATAATTTATATGCACTAGGACAAAGAAAAGATTTAAAAAATATATATATATATATATACTTACAACAAGGAGTTGAACATAGAGGTCATCGTCCCCGAATTCTCTTTCAACTCCTGTTTCAGCCCTCTTAGCTGCTTCATCCTTTCCTTCCTCAAGGTGTTATCCTTTACCACACCTTTCCGAGGACGACCAGGCCGCGCCATGTCCTCCAACACCTCAATTTCTTCCGCAGAGTAATAAACTGACGCTGCTAGGCCTTGCAGCGTCAGAAAGAAATTGATTACGCTGGTTCCACATTTTTTTTCTTGTGGCACTAAAAACAAAAAAGAAAATAATCCATAAATAACTAAGTAAAATTTTCACTTATAGCACTATGTAACAACACTTCCTAAAGCACTTACTGATGGCAGTTGATGGATATTCTTCGTCGACAAATGCGCGCAAACTGATAAGATCTCCTGACCTCCTGCATCATAAAGGGATGAAAAATGCTGACCTAAACAATTCTAATGTACGCACACAACAATCTTAAGGTCATTAACTGTACCACGAAAGAAGAAATTCATACCTACCTCAAGAAGATAGCCATAACACTTTGAATACACAAACACGCATCACAACATTGTAGATTCATTTGGATGTCATTTCACCATTCTTGTCATCATATTAGCTACTACAGATAAGCTCAAGGGATATCAATGTCACAATGAATGTAGGTCAGTAAGCGTAAGGACTATTAAAAGATAGTCTCAATTTCAAAAATTCCAGTCTTATAATCATGTATCTGCGACAATTGGAATTAATTTCATCGGGACGATGAAAAATCTAAGGGGGGGAGACTGTTACATTCCGGTAACAATTTTCCCTAATTTTCCTTAAAATTATCATTAAAATAAGACATTTTATATAATTCTATGATAATTTTACAATACTTAAACTATATGTCTTATTTTAATGTATTTATTTATGTATATATTGATAGGATAGAGTGTGGAAACGAAATTGATCTCAAAAGAGATATGACATTCGTTTTCACCATATAAGTTCAGAAAGTTGAAAAGCTAAAAATAGGATATATGTAAGCAAAATGTGTAGCAAGTTCGAGCTTGTTTGTTTATACGCGTGAAGAATGTGAAGGTTGTGAAGATCCAAGTGTAATATGATCTTCAAAAACCCATTGTCAGCATATAAAAGAGAGAATTCAGAAAGAAGAAGATTCAATGTCATACATGCGATGTAGACCATTACCATATAAGGAAAGTAATTCTATTTATAGATCACCCCTCCTCAATAATATGACATTTCTCCCACTAATTAGCATAATCGACTAGTATATAAACAAGAGCTTTTTCCATAAAGCTTGTCAAAAGTTCCGGTGCAATCTCTAACATCGTAGAGCGACCCTTCAGTTTACTTTCGCCCTAATTATTGTATTCTTTCCTGATAGCCAATAGGTGCAAGTTAATTTGACTTTTCACTTAGAACATAGTTCTTTCCTGATAGCCAATAGGTGCAAGAGAAGCAAATTAACACTTAGAATCAATAATTTAATAGAAATAACTGTCGTATTTATAACTATAAATACTAAAGAAATCTTGCATTATCTCTTTTTCTAAATTTGTCAATTTAGTATATGTTGCTTCTCTTACACCTGCTATAAAATTCATTCCTGTCAAAGGTGCGAGTGACGAGAAATAACAATAAAGAACATTGCAATTCTTTAAATAGTTATAAAACAATTTAAGTCGTTAAAGTTACACAAGTGCAACCAAAACGAACTATTTCAAATCAAATCAAAACCAATTATAACGACTAAGCTATAATCATCGATTTATCCGACTTCATTGATAAAAGTAAGTAAAAGAATTGTAAACTTGTATCATTATTGTATAATCATTACTATATAATTATTATTTAATCAATAAATGTTATAAAAGGGAATATTTGACTTGTTATTGTAACGCAAAACCCGTAGTTTTGACAAGTGACCACGATCCTACATAAAAATAAATATCAGGCTTTACCAACCTGATTAATCAGCCTTATTACATTCAAGTAAATAAAATTCATTTTATTTAAAAACCACGCCTAGTTCGGAACGTAACAATACACAAACAATTAGTACTGAATGGGGCTTAAGGAAACTTCAAGAAACTGCTAATGCACTAATCCCATGGTTGGCTAATTTGGGTCTATCTGTATCCTTTAATAAATCTCAACTGATGGCTTTTTCGAGAACAAATCAAAATTTAAGTAATCTAAAGATCGAATTGAGTGATTATAAAATAGGCGTTAGCAAAACCTTGAAATATTTGGGGATAGTCATGGACCGTAGATTGACTTGGATGTCTCATCTGAAGGAAATAGCCAGTAAAGCGACTAGATCCATTAACATAATTAAAGCACTGTCCAGAGTTTCTCGGGGAGCAAACCCATCTGCCCTTCTAATGATCTACAAAGGCCTAGTTAGGGTCCATCTTGAATGGAGCTGTCAGTTGTTCTCAGCATCTAGTAAATCGAACCTGAAAATTTTAGATCGCGTTCAATACTCTGCTTTACGTGTTGTTTTAGGTGTAATGAAATCTACACCAATATCTATTATTCTTTCAGAAGTCGACGAACCTCCTTTATACCTGAGACGGGCAATGCTGTGCAAGAGATTCCTATTGCGTAACCTATCTTGGTCTGCGAATCCTTTCGTACTTAAATTGAAGGCTTTGTGTAGTGCCACAGTTAACCATACCCGTTTACGTGAACAAATACCAACGTTTTTGGCTGCAATAAAGTTTTCTGTACTGAATATATTTGTAGACATGGTCGATGTTGTTAATGGATGCAGCACTACCAGGAAGCCCTCATTCCTTGATTACACATGGGATGAACTAACTTTCGATTTTTCTATCGACGTTGACTCCGGTCTGGAAATAAAAAACAGTCTTAACCCAGATTTGAATTTTAAAGATTTAATAAAAACTAAGTATTCCAACCATCTTTGCATTTACACTGACGGTTCGCATGACTCAACTCGGGGTCTTTCTACCCTGGCGGATCGGGGAAACCGAAATTGCACCGAATTCGGTTGGATTCGGTGTGATTTCCGTGAAAAGTAAAAAATCGTATGAAATACATGAAATTTCATTAAAACAACTGTTAGAATAAATGTATTACATATTGCTGATTTTATTTATGCGATTGTTTAATTAAAATGAGTGGTTTTTAAATAATTATAGATGTTTAAAATGGCAAAGTGCTTACCTGACAGTGTTATTTCGATATTTTTTTAATTGAATCGAGATGAAATTATAACAAAAACAATAGATATTCTTGGCAGACCTTGTCGTGGTGGTGGGGCTTTTCACTAAAGGACAACCAGTAACCAGGGTGGTTCCCTGACCAAATAAACCAAATGGAAAAAAATTATGATAATGGGACCAATTGAAAATATGGTCGTTGAGGTGGTCGGATCCCTCAACAACGGCGCTGCTGGGAGTGGGCTTGTTGGCTCCCAAGTGTCGGCATCATGCAACAACAAGACTGCAGGACTGGACTCCTTGGGTTCTGCGGTAAGTGAGGCATCAAGGTTTAGGGAAGGTGAAGCCAGCAACTTCGAGTCGAATGTTGCTGAGCAGTTAAAGACAATACCGAAAGTATTGGACAGCATGCGTCAGGCGTGCAAACGGCAGAAGAACATCAGCAAGGATGTTCAAGACGGTTTGACGGCTCTGGAGAAGGCGTTCGAAATAATTCGCAGTAACCTGCGATTTATAAACGAACCCTTTAAGGTCTCCGAGCCGCCCAAAGGAAACGTCAAAACATCTTTGCTGACAATGAAGTCTTCTAACCTTCAGCACCCTCTTAGTGAAGCTAGAAAGCGACATCGGGAGGGCGGAAGCCCGGATGCAAGGCAGCAGACTTCGACGCCTAGAGAGAAGAGGGTCAAGAGCAGCGATGCTCCTGACAAAACCCTTATCTCTCAGGTGCAAGAAAGTGTTGTTTCGCGTGCTGAAGTGGCCGATAGGGTAGGCGTGAAAAAAGACGGCGATGGCTTTGTTCTTGCCGTTAATAAAAAGAAGAGGGCTCGGAAAAAGAAGGCCCAAAAAAGAGCAGAGGCCCCGAAGCGCTCTTCAAGGCCCAGGAACACGGAGGCAGTCAGGATTTCGGCGAGAGATAAAGATTCTTACGCCGAAATCCTGAAAGTCATGAAAACCTCGGTTAAACCGGAAGAAATCGGTACCGAGGTTTTAAAAGTAAGAAGGACCCTCAACAACGAAGTCCTCGTTGTGGTCAAGAAAGGAGGAGAGACCTCAAAGTTCGCCCGGGCACTTACCTCGGCTCTGTCTGACAAAGCCGAGGTTAGGGCCCTGGTAAATAAAAAGACCATCGAGATCAGAGATCTCGATGAAACCACCACCGAGGATGATGTGGTTTCGGCCTTGAGGGGCAAGTTGGGAAAGTCCGACCTGGACATTGAGTGTCGACTTTTGCCACGCTTTGGTGGAGTAATGGCAGCATTAATCCGTCTTCCTGACGCGGATTGATATACCTTGCTTAAGTTGGGCAAAATCCACATTGGATGGATTAATGCCCCAATTAGGGAGCATGTAGAAGTGGCTAGGTGCCAAAAGTGCATGGTTTATGGACACGTGACCCGATCCTGCAAAGGCCCCGACAGAACTAAAAACTGTCGGAGATGCGGCGGAGAGGGTCACTTCGCTAAAAAGTGCGAAGTTAAGAAACCGAAGTGCTTAACATGCTCAGACTTAGGCAAGGTAGACACAGATCATGTTGCCGGAAAAACATCGCGTCCCGTTTACAAGGAAGAGCTGCAGAAGCTTAAAAGGGCAAACCCTTAAAGTTTCTGCAGGTCAATTTGCATACCTGTAGGGACGCACAGTCCCTTCTAATGCAGACAGCAAGGGAACAGGGAGTGGATGTTCTGTTCTGCAGTGAGCAGCATAGAAAGAACGATCTCGCTCCTTGGTACCAGGATAGGTCTGGCAGGGCAGCTGTGCAGGTGTGCAATCCTGCATTAAGGATTGACAGGTTCCTGGAGACGAACAGTGGATTTGTTTGGGTTGAGGTGGCGGAAATACGAATGTATAGCTGCTATTTCTCTCCGAACGATCCACTGTCGGACTTCGAAGCAGACATTGATAACCTAGAATCGAGCCTTAGGGAATCCAGGCTGGATGTCCTCGTCACAGGAGACTTTAATGCAAAGTCTCCAGAGTGGGGAGAGACTAGGCTCGATAAAAGAGGTATAATGATTGCAGAAATGGTCTCCAGGAACAATTTAATAGTTGTCAATCAAGGAAAGTCGTGGACTTTCAGAAGAGACACGATCGGATCAATCATAGATTTGACGATCGCATCGTCTCATTTGATTAGCCGCATAAGCGACTGGCGGGTCTCTGAGGAATACACCGCAAGTGATCACCAGTACATCGAGTTCTCAGTCTCAGTGGGAGACACACGAGGAGGCAGAAGACAGGAAGCTCCTAGTCGAAAAAGCCCCTCGTGGAACACTAAGAGACTCGACAAGGAGAAGTTCGGCCAGTCCCTTCTAGAAGCCCGCTTAATTCAAGAGTTGGGCTGGGTAAGGAGGCCGAACAGTCTTGATGGGGAAGTGCGGGCGGTGAGAAATATAATCGTCACCGCCTGCGATGCGTCAATGCCGCGTCGCAACGGCACATTCCCCAAGAAGAGATCCTTGCACTGGTGGTCAGAAAGGTTGGCCTCCTTGCGAAAGGCATGTTTCAGAGCAAGAAGGACATATACCCGATCTAAGGGAGATCCCTTGCTCAAGGAAGCATACAAGGAGGCCAAAAAGAACCTCAGCAAAGAGATCCGCGCGTCGCGACGCCGTAGCTGGAAGGACCTAATCGAGGACGTCGAGAAGGACCCATGGGGTCTGGCTTTTAAAATCGTTACTAAGAAATTAGTAACGAGGCAAAAGACCCCCGGCCTGGACAATCCCGATTGGGTCAGAAAGGTAATAAAAGCCCTGTTTCCTCCTGCAGAGCCGTGGCTTAGGAAGGACTGGAGTTCTTGCGTAGTCACAGAGGAAGAACTCTTTACTCTTGAAGAATTGGAATCAGCAGGTAGAAGATTGAAGACAGGCAAGGCGCCTGGAATCGATGGGATAAGCAACAAGATCCTAAAAGAGGTGATTGTTGCTTCCCCCAGATTTTGCTGGACATCTTCAATCGCTGCCTAGAGAGAGGAGAGGTCTTTCCAGACTGGAAGAGGCAAAGGCTGGTCCTCCTAAGAAAGGGAGACAAACCTCTAGATAAGGTCACATCCTACAGGCCTATATGCCTGTTGGATACGATGGGCAAACTTCTAGAGGACATGGTTCTGCAGAGAATGCAATCTCACTTGACCGGAGAGAATAGTCTATCCAATAACCAATTTGGATTCCGCAAAGGTCGGTCCACAGTTGATGCCATAAAGGCAGTTGTGGACCTCGCCAGAGAAGGGAAAAACAAATTGGGCCCAGATAAAAAGAAGAGCTTCTGCGCGTTGGTAGCAATCGACATACGGAACGCGTTCAATTCCGCGAGATGGGAAGATCTCATCGAGTCGATGATACAGAAGGGTATACCGCCCTACCTGTTGCGGATAATGGATAATTATCTAAGCGACAGGTGGGTTATTTACGAGGGAGACACCTGCATTCTCAAGGAAGAGATGCAGCGTGGGGCCCCTCAAGGCTCGAGGGTAGGACCATTTTTATGGAATGTATCTTACGATGACTTCCTGAGAATGGACCTACCCGAAGGTGCGGTGATCGTCGGCTTTGCGGACGACGCGTTGATCGTGTGCGCTGCCGACTCGGCGGAAGCTCTGGGGACATTGGTGAACGAATGTCTGCGGCTAGCAAAATGCTGGCTGGAAACCAGAGGTCTTCAAATGGCCCTGGAAAAGACCGAAGCATTGCTGGTCACAGACAGACGTGGTTATAAATCCCCACGAATCGTGATAGACGAATTCGAGGTCAAGTGGAGGAGACAGATAAAGTACCTTGGTGTGGAATTGGATGGAAGGTTAAACTTCCATCACCACATGGATACGGCGTCGAACAAGGCGATCGAATGTGCGGCTAACTTAGCACGGGTGATGCCAAATGTTGGTGGCCCCCGTGAAAAGAAAAGGAGACTGGTGGCGAGTGTCGCCCACGCTAAGCTGCTTTACGCAGCGCCAGCGTGGGCCCCCTCCCTGAGAACAAACAGATGTTCAACCATCTGTAAAAAGATGCTGTCCGCGCAGAGATGCATTACTTCACGTATTGCCTCTGCTTATCGGACAGTATCTACGAGCGCTGTGCAGGTCCTTGCAAGTGTCCCGCCAGCAGATCTTTTGGCGCTTGAGAGGGAGGAAATTATCCTGCTTCTCAAAGAGGCGAATTCCTCTGAAGAGGAAGATCGACCCAGCAAGGACCGCATCCGCTTTGAAGCGAGGCGCAGGCTCGTCGAAAAATGGCAACAGAGATGGGACGGGGAGGTAAAAGGTCGATGGACTTATCGCCTTATACCGACACTCGCCACATGGTTAAGTAGGAACCATGGAGAGGTCTCCTACTACTTGACACAAGCGCTGACAGGTCACGGATGTTTCAATTCGTACCTGCAGCGCTTTAAGAAGAAAGAGAGTGAGGCGTGTGCTTACTGCCAGTTCCCTGTGGACAACGCAGAGCACACCCTCTTCGCCTGCAGTCGATGGGACTTGGAGAGGCAGGCCATGTTCACCGGTGTAAACGCTACAGTTACACCGGAGAACATGGTAGCGCTGATGATCCATTCCCAGGAAAACTGGCGGCTCATCGAGACCTTTATCATCTCTGTTATGATGAGAAAGGATCTCGATGGCCGCAGATAGGCGAAAATTGACAGTATGCAGTTTTTATTTATTTATTTGTTCATTTTATTATTTATTTTGTCCTTTTATTGTCTTTTTACAATTTTCTGTTTATTTATTTATTTATTTTGTCTTTTATTGTCTTTTTACAATTTTCTGTTTATTTATTTATTTATTTTAGTCTTTTTACACTTTTATGTTATATTTTGTTTGTTCATCTGTCTTTTTACAATTTTATCTTTGACTTTGTTTAATTTACTTTTATTTTTTTTATTTATTGACTTTTTATTGTTTTCTTTTCTGGTGTGCTGTTGATTCCGCTTGACATTGATTTTAGAATTATTTTAAATTCATAACGCAGGATGTCCGCAGGAATGGACGAAGTCGCTTTTGCGACAGAGTTGGAGCGCCACCCTCGAAGGCAAAAGTCTTCACGACAGTACCGAGGGTGGATCAAAGGGCTCCCAAGAAGGGGTGACGGGTTTTAGTGGGTCGGGGCTGGTAGTAGTTCGCCAGCTTATTTTTGTTTATTGTTCTCCTTTTTTTTTTACCAACCCCACATAACCTTGGCATGCGGAAGCCAAGGTATCTGTATACAGATTTTCCCAATAGTCCCTAAAAAAAAAAAAAAAAAAAAAAAAAAAGATATTATTTAATTAATGTTTATAGTATTTACTGGCTTGTTTTTTCATAATATTTTGTGTTTAATAACGATAATATTAATGTTATATTACATTTGGATGATTTGATGTAAAGTGAAATACTATTTTACCGATCATCACTCACATATAATAGATTGCCGCGCGTATTACATTATAGATGTCAGTGCTTAATATTTCCTTATCAATTGTTTCTACTATATTTTTATTTTAATTACATATTAATTTAGCAAAAATTTATAATTAAACTAGAAACACCTAAATATGTAATAAATGTTAAGTTATAAAAAACGTTAATACTATACCAAAGTATTGTGTAACAAAATATTTGTAACAAGTTATTAATTCCATTTTTCATTGTTATACAATAATTTTTACTAATTAATTATTTTTAAATTTAATTTTAATTATTTATTTTATAAGTAATTAATAATCAGTTAATAATGTTAATACTAAAACTCAACATTATTAATTAAAATTATATTTCTATTATTACGGTCGATAATAATAGAATCTATTAAACTTTGATGAATGACAGCGCTTAGTGGCGAAAAAAGAAAGTATTATGCAACCAGTGGTTTAGGCTAACACGAGGGACCTATTTCCGGTTTGTTTGCCGTCGCCGGTTGACTGTAAGCGTGATCGTGCTCGCAATTTATAATTATAATCAGTGTTATAGTTTTTTTCTTCAAGGAGGGGTGGACATATTTAAGGGACATATTTAATTTTTCATTTGGTAAGTAACTAATTTTTACTTTAATATTATATTTGTGTCTAAACTCACATGTCAGCTTTCAACTTTTCTTTCTTGCATTTTACATCTACCCTGGCGGATTGGGAAAACCGAGTTGTAACCGAATTGGGTGACGATTCGGTTACGTTTCGGTTCATTGTGAAATTTTATCGTTAATCGACGAAATATGTAGTAAATAACTATTAGGAATGGTTAATATACATTTAGAGTGCTTATTTATGCAATAATAATAATGAATTAAGATATAATTAATTAATAATAAGTGTTTACGTGTACAGGGCATACAGTTGTTGAATTACCATATATATTACCATCAGCGGCAGCTGTGATACGCGCGTTAAACCCTAGATGGCGTTAAGGATGACTTTGTGAATGAATTTCTAAAATTAAGCTCTTGAGTATCAAATGTGTAAGTGAATATATAAGTTTTAAAAAAATAGATCAATTTATTAAAACAACTTTTTTGATTTGTACAAATATAAAAAAAAAATTTTATAACGAACAAAAATTTTTTTAATGAGAAAAAGTTTTTTTTGTGTCAAAATTAATCTTTCTCATTTTTCTTTTTTTAAATAATTTTTTTTTGAATTTTTGAATAAAAAAATCCATTTTCTCAATAAAATGAGAAAGATTAATTTTGACACAAAAAAAACTTTTTCTCATTAAAAAAATTTTTGTTCGTTATAAAATTTTTTTTTATATTTGTAGAAATAAAAAAAGTTGTTTTAATAAATTGATCTATTTTTTTAAAACTTATATATTTACTTACACATTTGACACTCAAGGGCTTAATTTTAGAAATTCATTCACAAAGTCATCTTTAACGCCATCTAGGGTTTAACGCGCGTATCACAGCTACCGCTGATGGTAATATACATTTATATGGTAATTCAACAACTGTATGCACTGTACACTTAAAACACTTATTATTAATTAATTATATCTTAATTTATTATTATTATTGCATAAATAAGCTCTCTAAATGTATATTAACCATTCCTAATAGTTATTTACTACATATTTTGTCGATTAACGATAATATTTCACAATGAACCGAAACGTAACCGAATCGTAACCCAATTCGGTTACAACTCGGTTTTTCCAATCCGCCAGGGTACAGTCGTTTCAATCAAAGATATTAAAAAAGGTATAATATTATTTGAAATGTTGAAGTTTATTTATGTTTCCTTATGAAGAAGATTTGCAGTTGAGGGGATTTTTAATGTTGAAAGTTATATGTATAGTTCGATCGTATGTTCGTATACTGATTAAATATGTGGTGTGTGTGTGTGTGTTTGACTGTATATGTGTCTCTTTCATGCCATACTTTCTGGCAACTAAATTACCTTGAGAAACGTTTTGATGGATCATCCTGAAATTTTCTGTTTTCTGACATCTATATATATATAAATATAATCAAAAAACCATTTCTATATTTCTACTAGTAATAGACATTTCTCTCCTTTTTTCCTCTTTTGCTCATCTGTTTATTTTTTAACTCTTTTAAAATTTGATTTCATATTTTTTCATATTTTTTTTCATATTTTTTTCCAAGTGGTTGAAGATATATTTTAAAAAAGTCTAGTTTTCATATTATGTCAGACTAGATACATTTCTAATTTTAATTATTATAATATTATTAAATAAATTTTATTGCATTTAAAAATATTATTAATTAAAAGAAGGATGTTTATGACGTGATTTTAACCTTAAATTTTTGACTTTTTTGAAAACATTATTATTAAAATATTGTTAAATATTAAACATGTTAATTCTTACCAGAAACATAAATCGGTTTTTTCTGCACGTAGAAATGATGATGAAATCACAAAATTGTTTTATTTCACGATTTTAATTACAATTGAAAATTTTGTTGCGAAAATTTCAAAATCTTTGGAAGCTTGTAACTTTTTTCTGGATCTTTAAAAAATTTACGAGTTTTGCACA